TTTAGCTGTCCCCCCCCTCCCCCTTTCTATTTTTATTTTTAGTTAAGTGAGTCTTGAAATCCTGAGCCCTGGAGGCGGGTCCAGCCCTCGCCCCGCTTCCCGACTGACACTCTTAAGTTGGGCTTTCCCCTCAGCTACGTGCAGTTAGAAAAAATAAAATTTATTAAAGAGTCAGGACAAAACCTGCCTAGATATCCCCCGTTTTGAACTTTGGCCATTACAATTCTCAGACTTAAGTGAGAATGAGTGCCTATGACAGCACAAAGATACGTAGTATTTCAGCATCTCGGGGAGACCACCTTATAAACGTTGTTGTGGCTTTATGGGGACTAACTAAATGGTAAGTTTGCGGGATATGGCCCTTACGAATTGCCTTGTAGCTTCCGGCTGCCTTCCTTGTAAGTAAATTGCACTAAGTTTGTGAATAAAAGCAAAGATGCCGTACACAGCTGGAGCTGCAGTGGGATTTTCTGCAGGAGCTGAGAGTCTGTGCTGACCCATGGGGAAGATTTGAAAGCAGGAGTGCTAAAAGGTATCAAGGGCAATATTCGTCTTATTTTTGTGAGTATTGACTATCATGAGAAAACGAATACTCTGCGGCATTCCCCGCTTACTCTTGCATGAGGCGTGTGGCAGGACTGTTGGGCGTAATCCAGTCAAAGAATGTAGCCCGGGCTGCGAGGGGTCTGCCCACGAAGGTTTGAAACCATGCCCGCACAGAGGATAATTTAATTTAACTAAAAATTAGAAATACATAACAACTGTTACAGTCTTTATGACTAAAGCAGGAAAAAATTTAGCATTAATGCCTTGAGGCGTATCCTGCCGTTATGGCTGTTTAGGAGAAGCGTATATTTAAGCGCAGTGCTTGCTGCCCCGCTTTCCTGCGGCTCACCCATGGGCTGCTGGTTGCCCGCCCGCCCAGGTGTGCTTCCCGGCATCCCGAGTCGCTGGCCGGGAGGAGTATTCAGCATCCTGTGCACTTGGCAAGCACTGTTTGGTCATGCAGGAAAGGAGAGTAGACTGGTTTTCAGCTTGGTCTGGCCTTCCCCACACTGGTATGGACGTAAGGTGAGGGGGGTATTTTCTCCTTGCGGTGTTCCTAATCTTGAACAGATCTGTTAGCCAGCCCAAATGAGCGGGCTCTTTCTAACATGAGTGAGAGAAACTTGGGAAGTCCTTGGCTCAGCTTCACATGTGGATCGAGTGCTAGTCTTCACGCAATCATCCTCTTTGAAGTGCTGCCCCCCCCCCAAACTGTATCTAGACTACCAGTCTACTAATCTAGACTACCAGGTTTGCTGAGGGGCTGTTAACTCCAAAGAGGTCGTTTGGCTTTAGTATTACCATTTTCTGGTTTTTAGCTCTACTATTAAGGAGTTTTTTCTCCCGAAACTGGGTTTCATCCAAACTCTTGGCTCTTTAGCATATTTTGCTTAAATAATTTTGTCAAATCACCACCTCCGGTCTTCAGCAGAATGTAGGAATACCTCCACTAAGAAATGCATATTAAATTTTTGTATATTTACATGCCTCATTGTTTTTATTAAGAACTCAGTATGTGTTCAGTGCAGTATAAACATTAAACAAGGTTATTCTTCCCCTGGTGAATTTACAGTCTGAGAGCTTCATAGGAAGGCGTAGTAATAACATACCATTAAAACATCGCCTTTAATTCAATCCCTTTTTGTTTCCCTGTGGTTAATACTCATTTGCTGTTGATCATGACTGGTGTACCCTGGCGTGTCATGCAGCGCTGGTTTATGATGTTACAGCCCCCAGTTGTCCACTCTACCCCTCTGCGGGAGGTTCTTGTTCAGCGTGAGTGGAAGAGGAGAGCATATGTCTGTGCTTCAGCTGCTGCCATACAAAGCCCAGCAGTATAGCTGAAACCCACCTTTGATGGTACTCTACACTAAGACCTTGGTTGTGCTATCAAAGCACAGTTTCCTTCTGCCGCTTCGGCTTCCTCTGAGGACAGCTGGAAATACTAATGCCTTCAACAGCTGCAGCAAGATTCTCTGAAGCTCATGTGTTAAAGCCCTGAGAGAAGAAACATTGCAAGATGCAAATGGAAACAGAGGCGTCCAATTTTCACTGATGTCTGTTGGGTTTAGGTGCCTAATTCACTTTTATATCTTTATAGTAGCATCATTTTAGGGAAGAATTCTGTAGCCAATGGGATGTTTCAAGAGATTGTAGCTTTCCTGGGCAAAGCACATCATATGGCTTGGACCATAAAAGGAACTGATACTCCCCAAGGGAAGCAGGACCCTTGAACTGAAGGAGTTGGCAGGTTTGAAAATTTTTAAGTTTATTTGCTTATTTAAAGAGTCACAGCATAGTTTTCTGCCCTGAAACAATTTCTGTTCCACTTTCTGCTCTGGATTTCATGTGGTGTTTGTCAGAGAAATTATTTCAGAGACAAATTTTTGAAAGTAGCCACTGAAAGCGTACTGCTTTCTCAAGATAGCTTTTTGCTAAGTAAGCTAGAACTACTGCCTGGAAGTTGAAATTCGAAAAAAAAAACCCCTAGAAAAAACACATACTGCTTTTTTTAATAGTGAGGTTGACTGTCGGTTAGAATAAACTCTAAAGCAAAATTCTGTCTCCTGAAATTTTCAAATCAAAATGTGATCAAAATTTTGGAAGTTGTAGTCAAGCTCAACTGAATTTAGTATTGAGGTTACTGATTAAAATTTTTGGAGCTGTACTGTAGAGGAGGTTAGTGTAGGTCAGTCTAATTATTGGCTCTTTCCGGCCTTAGTATCTGTAGTCTGTGTCTGCAGTGGAGTGCAACGGTAGGATTGCGCTGGCAAAGACTAGACAAGTCTGTTGAGTAAATACAGAATGTGTATTGATTGCTGGGGGAAGGAGGAAGTCTGGTGGCTTTATTATTGTCTTTACTGTGGTAAATTGATTTACTGGAGGAGAGGGAGAAGTTAATTCTTCGTATCAATTGTCCTAAGATACAAGGCCTCAAAATTAATGAGAATCACTTTGTCTGTAAAGGTGTTTTTTTAACATAAGAGAGAATGTTTCTTGGTTGTGCTTTGCTTCTTCTCATGGTCTTTGCTTTGTTTTTTAAAATGCTACAGAGATGAGAGACTCATTTATGCACACTTTAATTCCTGCTTTTGTGTTATAAACAGGTTAGGATTTGACTATGGCAGTGCAGTTCCTGTGGAAGGCATCTGTGTGGTTCAAGAAGCACAAGATCACTTTGTTGGCCGTTTCTTGCGTGGGACTGTTTGGCGCTAACCTTTCCTATCATGTGTTTCCTGAGCAAACATTCAAATTATTGCATGAGTGCTGGTCAGAGGGGCAGCCAGCTGAGCTTTCACAGAGGCTTTGTGGTGTCTTTCAGGATGTCCTTGAGGATACTGATGTGAAGTCCACTGACTCCTATCGAGCCTTCGCAGCTTCTGGCTTCCACCCTGTGAGTGCTGGAATCCCCTGGCTGCCTGCAGGCTCTTTGGTGGGCATTCCACCAAATTTTGATAGCACAGCTGAGGGTAAAAAAGGAATAGTCAACCATGTTGTTGTGATCAATGGCAAGGAAGTAGACTGGGAGAGCGACGAAGGTGTTGCTTTGAAGGAAGCTCTGACATTTTCACTTAACGCTCAGAAGTTTGCCATTGCCAGAGAAGTTGGGTATTTGCAGACTGGCAGCCCTTTAGCAAGTGCAGTTGTGGCTCCAACTTGCTTAGCTGGTACATTTCTCTGTGGGAGAGGTATAAAGCTACTTCTGGGTTTATCTACTGGCCCCATGATACTTCGCAGCATCTGTAACCTCATAACTGCCGCTGGTGGACTAATGTGCTATTACGTTTCTTACGACGCTATGACCTATCACCTAGACTGCAAGGCTGACAGAAAGGCAGCTACTGTTTCCAAAGACTATGCCAGAGGTGGGGTTGAATTTTATGATAAAATCTTGTCCCGCAACAGGATTCTTCGTGGTCTGATGGGCAAACAAGGGACAAAAATATATGCCCCAAGTGGTAACCTTTTCCCAAGGCACTGGTTCAGAATAAAGTATACCCCATACACTTACCGAAGAGATTTGATTGTTAATATTTTAAGAGAGCTCCAGGCATAGGAAGGGAGTGCTTGAATTTTAAACTTGTGAATTATGTATTCTTTTGGAACACTGCTGTGATGCTTTTTTTTTTCCATATCTTCTTTAGAATTTCAGTATTTATTTTTACATATAGTTCGGAAGGAGTTATTGCACATTCTGTGAATAAAGAATTCTCTCTTAAAATATTAAAGACTCGCTTCAAAAGTGCTCTGTTCTGTGTGCATCTCAAATCACAAGAGTGCTGAGGAGGGGAACTTCTCAGATGCTGATCTGGGAGTTCTGCTGCTCTGCTCTGCCTTTCTGCTAGTGCAGACTAGAAAATGGAAAGGGTAGAGTCCAGCGGAGGGTTTTGGGAGCATTATCATTTAAACTGGGGTGTTTGTATGTATGTTTGCCATTCCTCCTATGGAACAACCCACAGATTAAAAAACTGAGCAGTCTGTATTGTGCTATTACATAAATAACCAAGACGCAGTATTACTATTCTGTTTAAGTTCTCGCACCATGTAAAATCTTATGCTGCAATGACCGTTCTCCTGTAGGTCACACTAATTATGCTGCAGTTCATACTAATACACCTAGATTATTACCAGCACCTGCATCGTTTTACTTAAATCTAGTTCTGCTTTCTACATGACATGGTGACTGCAGCATGTATACCTTGAATATTTCCCAGCAGTGGCAGTACGTAACGTGACTGTCATGGGTTGGTTGTTTTCTCACAAGTAGGATAAGCATGTTCAGGAGAGGGTTTTCTGTTTGCTTTGGTACAGTTCTTGTTTAATTTAAAAATACATGTAAGATGTATGTCACCTTTTATGTTAAAGAAGGTAAGGTATAAGAAATAAGTCTGACATTTGGTGCAGAAACTGGTGAGGTCTGTGATGAGTTGCCAAAGGAAATCATTCTCCTGTTTCAGACTAGCCTAAGAAGGTTTTGTCTGGCAGAACTGAGCTTTGCCCGGGATTACTAATCTTCGGGAAAGGTCTTTAGTGCATGTGCAGTAAACTTTCCACTATAGCCTCTCCTTGAAGCTTTTATGTGATCTTCAAGATAATAGTTCTTAAACTTTGTAGTTCCCTCTCTTACGTGTTCCTATTGCAGCCATTCCGGTAGCCTTCCCTGGTGACATAGCTGCAGTTCTCCTCATCTCTGTTGTTATTCTTTCAGGAAACTTCTATTATTTTCTATCTTCTCAGTCACAGACGTGCTGAGTGTCCTCTGTGCCCTGGTTTTGTCCCTTCTTCACCTGCCACAATAATAACTGTTCTGCCTGTGTTTGCCCAAAGCATTGCTGAGTTTTGTTTTCCCTTTGAATCACGTGGTGACACAAAGTTGATATACTGGCTGCTGAGGCACTGGTGTTGCTTTACATTGCTGAAGCCATACATATAAGATGTTTGGGTTTCTGCTGAAGTAATCTGTGTCATGGATGTTTTTCTGGACCACCACCTATCACTTGCAGTTGTCCTTGAAGTATCAAGTCATGAGATGCCTCTTAGGTGCTTTCTGGCTGTAGGGCATAAGGTTACTGTTCTTGTGACCTTTGTGAAAGAGTTTGACAAAATCTCCTAGTCTATGGAATAAAAGAAGACTTTATCTTTAGGCAAGGGGCTTTCAAAGCTTCAGGCTTGTATTGAGTTTGCATGGCAAGGTTATGGTAGCAGGGGGGCTACATGGGTGGCTTGTGAAAAGCTGCTAGAAGCTTCCCCTGTGTCCGATAGAGCCGATGCA